GTGGGAGCGGCCTATTGCCAATCTATGAAATTCTGCGGAGTTGTTCCGCTCGACGCAATTTAGATGAAATTGTGCTTGCCAAATTGCAAACAACGGACCAGTTATCTTCTGACTCAAGCATAGTATCCACAAGGTTATGAACCGTAAGTGGCCTCCCCACCTTCCTGCTCGAGTCATCCCTTTCGATTGCAAACCTCGGACAGACGAAAAAGCAGTGTTCAGCGTCTTCAATAATATCCTTTGCACAGAAGGTGCAGAAGGGATCGTCTTCGTGCTTAAATCGGTATAAATATGATTTAAAGCGCCCATGCCCTGTCAATATTTGGGTCAAATGGAAGTCCACTTCCCCATGCTCCCTACTTACCCACCTTGATGTCGAGGGTATGAGGCGGTGCGTCCAACGACCGCTGGCTGCGCGGTCCCACCTCGTTTGCCATTGCTGCAAGCACCTCTGTGTCACCTCTTCGCGTCTCGTTCGGTTTATAGGCCTGGGGCCTGTCACTTCCACTAGAATGTCAATGGGGCAGAGTCCTGCCACCACTAGTGCTGCTTCTTCAGACGTAGTTCGGAATGCACTGCATACTTTGATAGCGCAAAATCTGTGCAAAGACCTTGCTTCTCGTACATATGACGTCTTGCTGAACGCTTCATACCAGATTTGTGCACCATAGAGCAGCACACTGCGCACGACGCTTGCGTATAGCTGCCTACGCTGTTGTTTCGGGCCTCCTACGTTCAGCATAACCCTTGTTAGTGCCCCTGCCACCTTTTCGGCTTTCTCGACAGCATAATCAATGTGCGTCTTGAAGGTAAGCCTCGCATCAAACATTATGCCTAGGTATTTTAGGGCCACACATGATATTCCAAAGAATTGGACCCAGAACCGAACCCTGTGGTACTCCAGCCGAGACTTTATGTTCTTTGACACCGTTCCCCGTATTGTACAGTAGCACTCTATTTGCTAGGTAGTTGTCTACAATCTTGCGAAGGTATGCGGGTACCTCGAATCTGCGTAGAGCAGCGTTTATGTGTTTCCAACTTGCAGTGTTGAAAGCATTTTTTACATCGAGGGTGACAAGCAAGCAGTACTCCTTTGCTCCTCCCTTCCACCTTTCGCCACTGATTGCATCTTCCGCCAACAGCTTTACTAAACTGGCTACATCTACAGTTGACCACCCCTTTCTGAAGCCGAACTGTGTCTCTGAGAGGCCTCCCTTTTCCTCTATTGCTTCTAGCAGTCTATCGCTGATTATGCGTTCGACCAACTTGCCCGTCGTATCCAACATGCATATAGGACGATATGCTGAGG